TGTGACTGGTGCAAACATAATAATCATGAGATGCGTGTCGTGTGAGAACATGACTACATGCCACAGCCAAGGCGCAAATACATTTCGACGTGACACGATGCGCGTTCTCACCGGCGTTCATTTGGTGGTGGTGAAACATTTAATAACCATTAAATGGTTACAGAGGGTGATTGGGTTGGGGCCTCGTCGGCCTCCTATCCTCACAGCACAAGGTGGAACCCTTATGCCGGAGCTCCATTGGCAAGCAACGCCGACCGCGCCCGTCGAACCAGGGCTTTTTGGGCCTTCAGGTCTTGACAGCCGAGCAGGGCCGCCTCTCAGTCCTCTCTCGTGGGGTTGGGGAGGGGATAGATGGATTAGACTGGCACGCCCAGACGATGTGGAAGGTGTCAGCCACCTCACCGCAGAACTGGCACGTGCCATCAAAGGATGAATTGAAATGTTTTAGCAGTGCTGGGCACAGTACGGTATTGGTAAACAGTTCTAAAAGGAGGCACTCGTCAGCGCGATGCAGTCCCTTACAAGGGTCTAAATAGCGCCGGTGCTCCTCCTTGTAGTAATTGTTAATATCTTTGAATGAAAGGGCCGAGTTGTCTGATTGGGAGTAGGCTTGATGATGATATGTGGGGTTTCACGTCCCAAAACCACCATATGATTATGAGAGACGCCGTAGTGGAGGGCTCCGGAAATTTCGACCACCTGGGGTTCTTTAACGTGCACCCAAATCTGAGCACACGGGCCTACAACATTTCCGCCTCCATCGGAAATGCAGCCGCCGCAGCTGGGATTCGAACCCACGACCTTCGGGTTAGCAGCCGAGTATCTTAGCCACTACACCACCGCGGTGGGGCTGGGAGTAGGCTTCCAGAGACAGGGAGATAGCCCGGGAAGAGAGAGCGCGGGCGGACTGATCGGCCTGTTCGTTACCTCCGAGCCCTTGGTGACCGGGGGCCCAAACCACATTTCGCGGAGTTGGATTAACGTATCGGCAGCTAGGTTCCAGTATGCGCTAAGCAAGCGGAGAAGCCCACCCTATCTAATAGTTCCGACAGGCCCCTCGTGAGTAGGTGATGATATGTTTAGAAGAGGGATAGGTGAGAGCCAGAGCGATGGCAATCTCCTCCGCTTGTGTTGCGCTGTAGACTTTGAAAGTGAGCCCGTTTATGGTGTTTGTGTTGTGTATCACTGTGGCCGTAAACCAACCCCCATGGTGCGGGCCGGTAACGTCCACGTAGCACACGTGTTCCTCTTGTCCAAAGTGTCGCTGCGACGCTTCTGCGCGCTCCTCGCGGCGACTACCGTGGTTTTCTTTGGACATTTTGCGGGGAAGGGGTCTGACCCGGAGGGCGCGTCTCCAAGGTTCTGACACTCTCACCCTTTCCTCAATATAGTAATCGTGTCTGATGTGTATTTGGTCCAAGAGCGGCGACCGGAATGGATCTGTGCAAGGCGCGTGTATTGGTTAACGAGGTAGGCTTCTCGAAGTTCCGGTAGGTATTCACCACGCCTAGAGCCAGAAGTCTCTGATTGGACGTGGTTATAGGGAGGTCGAGGGCCCGCTTGATAACTTTACGGTGGATGACCTCAAGTTGATCATCATCGTGTTTGCGTAGGTGCAAGTAGGGAGTCGAGTAGAGTATTCTACTCGTTACGAAAGCATGGGCAAACCGCATTGCATCGCTGCTTCGCAATCCGCCCCGCTTGTTGGAGACCCGGCGTATCATTCGGCCCACCTGGTCTCCCACCGTGCGAAGTTTGGCTATTTTGTGTCGGCCTTGCGTTGGTCGTGTATGAAGAGGCCAAGGACGCGGATCTCCTTGGCCTCACGGATCGGTTCCGAGGGAAGACTGATATTGATTGATATGTGGGGTTTAACGTCCCAAAACCACTGATGATTATGAGAGACGCCGTAGTGGAGGGCTCCGGAAATTTCGACCACCTGGGGTTCTTTAACGTGCACCCAAATCTGAGTACACAGGCCTACAACATTTCCGCCTCCATCGGAAATGCAGCCGCCGCAGCCGGGATTTGAACCCGCGACCTACGGGTCAGCAGCCGAGTACCTTAGCCACTAGACCACTGGGGCGGGGTGGAAGACATATGGAGCTGAGTTGTGTCCTGAGGGGAGGGACGTACGTGCACAAATTCTGACTTAGCCGGGGCACAGTGGTGTCCGCAGTAGCTGCGTAGTCGTCGACTACAGTCGCTGCTGCTTGCAGGCACGACTCCATGTGACCCAGGTTACCTTGCGTGGCCCAGATTGTGATATCATCCGCGTAAAGATAGTGATGTATCCCTGGTAGAGAAGCCAATTTGGGGGGAAGACGAGGCATGGCTATATTAAATAGGAGCGGAGAGAGGACCGCGCCTTGAGGAGTTCCCCTCGAGCCGATGACGTATGGCCCATGTTCCTCATCTTGTATGCGTATGTAGGCTTGACGGTCTGTAAGAAACTGTCTAACCTAATTGAATGTTTTATAACCACAGTTGGTCTGACTGAGGTGGTCAAGGATTACCTCATGCTTCACGTTGTCGAATGCCCCTCTAATGAATGCCCCCACAATGTCAGGACTACCTTGTCATTGTGGGGGCATTCAACGGGATCTAATATGTCATGGTGGTGCTGTAGAAGTATATCCTGGGCTGACTTCTGAGGGCGGAAACCAAAAATGGTGTCCGCAAAAGTGTGCTGTGTTTCTAGAAACTCGGAGAGTCTGTCGCGTACCATTGTTTCCATCAGCTTGCCGACACAAGACGTGAGGCAGATGGGGCGAAGGTTCTCCACGTCAATAGGTTTACCTGACTTCGGGATGAAGGTCACGAGAGCTGATTTCTATTCAAGAGGGAGAGGAGTTTCTCCGTCCCAAATGCTATTGATGTATTTGAGGAGCGTGGCGTAGGCTGCATCGGGAAGATTGGCCAACAGTTTGAACGTAACCTGGTCACGCCCGGGTGCAGTGCCACGCTTCATCTTGCGTAAGGCCGCCTGGAGGTCGTGGAGCTTGAACGGGGTGTCCAACTGCGTGTTCTTCTTGCCTGCATAAGAGTATGCGGCCGTCCGGGGGTCCTTGGTGCTTCACAGGTATAGGTCCCCGAGTGTGTGTGCCAGCTGTGTTGTCGGTTCATTTCGTCGCGTCACGCCGGCGTTGCCACGTCAGGCACCGGTCCTGCCATGTACTCACAGGCGCACGCCGCGCTGCATTGTTTTAACGCATGTGCGTTTCAGCGCGTCTGGCGTCCCTCCGTCACGAAAAGAGGGAGACGCAGTGTTGTCGGAGTAACTAATCGGCGCGAAATGCAGCATGTCGCATTTCGTGCCGGTTGCCGTCGGGCCGCACCGACAGACACTGGCTGCGCCGGTCGCGCCTGGCGTAGCGTCGTTGTGTCGCGCCTGGCGTAGCGCCTGGCGTAGCGTCGTTGCGGTAACGTAGTGTAGTTATGTCTAGCGTGCGCGCGCACCCATGCTACTTTGGATTATAATAAACCCTTCACGATGCGCTCGCGGCCGTTTTGCTTGCTCCACATATATCAAATTTGGTGTTACGTGACTTCAATGCATGGCGAACTATATGACTGGTGCAAACATGATAATCCGGACACGCGTGTCATGTAAGAACATGACACGTTTTCCTAGCTCCCATATACTGAATTTGGTATCACGTGATGTGAATAGATGACGAAGGTAAACGACACATTCAAACATAATAATCGTGACACGGAAGCCATGTATGGCATCATTTACTTCCACCTGGTAACGTGCTGATTTTAATGTGACATATCAACCTTTTTCATTCGTGCTTCGCATATATCACCGATTCCCACTGTACGTGGGATCTGCCATTTTTATATTCGTTCTTAATATTTCCGTGCTATTTTGATACGCTTCTTTTATACAATATTTGTTGTTTTTTGTATTTTTTTCACTCGCAACGCAGTGCTCGGCTGTGTCCCGTCTTCCGTATTGGTCAACCTTGCGCTGTACCCGCAAATGCTGTCATACCTACTAGTTCAACTTTCAACACTCTTCTAAGCGCGCCCAAAGCGCAACGCTGGTGTGTTTTAGGGTAGTTTTACTGGTTCTACTGCTTGCCTGATACGTCTACAAGCATTAATTTTCACCACTCACTCTATTGGCACGTGCCTTGAAGAGTAGGGAACGACTGCGTCTAGCCTTCTTTGCTGGGGGGCGTCACAGAGCCGCTATCGCTACTCTGCTAACCATACGCCGCACGCGAGATAGTTGTTTCTTATGTTATCCTACTACTGCCGCGGGTATGAAGGTTTTTAAAAGAAGATGGCGTTTCTTGAGATACTTCAATAAATAAATGTTTGTTTGGCTTTCTGTTGCTCTGTCTGTCACACAATTCAACCACACAGGGAAAGTTCCACTGTCTGCGTTTATACATGTAAACATTTTCAAGCAAAGTGAGTCTGACGCAATTTCGAGGTAAACATGAATACATAAATATTAGGCTGTACTTGCCTTCATTATTTAGTGTATTTAAATCTAATTCTAAAGACAGCAGTACTCATCACTGCACCGATGATGTGATACTATGAAAGATTCATTGATTTGTGGGGTCTAACGTCCCAAAACCACGATATGATTATGAGAGACGCCGTAGTGGAGGGCTCCGGAAATTTTGACCACCTGGGGTTCCTTAACGTGCACTCAAATCTGAGCACACGGGCATACAACATTTCCGCCTCCATCGGAAATGCAGCCGCCGCAGCCGGGATTCGAACCCGCGCCCTGCGGGTCAGCAGCCGAGTACCTTAGCCACTAGACCACCGCGGCGGGCTAGTAGGAGAAGTCAATGAAGGAATATACTGGAAGCAATTGCGAATGATTGCTGCCATTAAAAACCGTAAAGCAAACTATGAAAAAGTGTTACGAAACGTGCACTCTTCCAGCTGAAAACTCCGCTCATGCCCCTCAGTATGCCTCAATGAGGCTAAATTAAAACAGGTGGCTTACAGAGGTAGGGAATTTTACTCACTTTTATGCGGTTCACTTTCTTGGCGGCGAAGTTTATGGGTGTGCACTCCGCCACCGTGAATGTCTTCTGATCCTCGGGGCACTTCCCACTGCCAGACTGGGAGACGCACGCAAAGCAGCATTCGCACAAAACGTGCGAACATGGCAGTTTCAGCGTCTTCTTGGGAATGATTGCGCAAACGCTGCACATGCGCACGTCAGACACCTCGTCGACCAGAAACGTCGTCCTCCAGTTCACGCCGGCGACTGGGTGGCCACTAAAGCGGTGTGGTCTTTTTTCCATTTGCAGCACGAAAGCGTTTCAGCACCGAGCTTAAGGCCACAAAAGAGGCGAGTGACGATTTGTTAAGGTTCGATGAGGCTTGGAACAGGTGATTTCAAACTGGTGGCGTACGCAAAAAATACTTACGTTAAGGTTCGCCTATTTATCACGTTGATAAACGGAGTGCGGGACAGAATAATATGTGCAGCTGCTGCCCAGTGCCACGTCACATGGTAGTGCCGGAGCCAAAAACTGATCTAAAACAGAGAGCATTTGTCTGCTAAGAACTATCTAAACACCCGACTGACGCAACCAGGTGTGCGCCGATATGGCAGCTAGTAAAAGACACTTATGTGCACCGGTTACGCATGGTCAGTTGAGCGTTGGCAATAATACACAGAGATCGCAAACGAAGTGATAGAAAAATATGGCATAGGCGATGCTACAAAAATATTTGGCTAATTGTACGCACTAAGGAATCGACGTTATGCGAAGCATTCGTAGGGAAGGTGACCGTGTTGCGATTTTTTTCAGTGAGCGAAAAGTCATGAAATGACGCTAAGTATATGTACAAATATTGCGCGTACAGACATATCTTGTAGAGTTGCAGATGTTTATAGAACCAGTTGTTTGCACTTGCGCAACTATATTAACTGGAACATGCGTATTAGAAACACCAGAAGCTGATATGAAGCGCTGATGTTCGCGAAGGTTCTGGCCCTGGACACTGCTACGTGAAGCAACTTCAGTGCATGACACCTAACAACAATTGACGTTAACCGGACATGACGGCTGTATTAAAGGAGTTCTTATGCAACGTTTATAAAATTGGCTTGACAGCACCGCAACCACTATTGACGTTTGACAGAGATTAGCGTCTATTTAAACATATATTTGAAAAGTAGTTACGAGACCTGGCGTAACTTTGTGGTAGAATGCTTGACTGCCACGCGAAATTCTTGGGTTCGATTCCTGCTGGGAGACTTAAAATTTCTGCTGGGAGACCTAAATAAAATATTGGGCCACGTCTGAGGCATCATTATTGTTGTTATGATCGCCCATGCCTCCCTACTACACAAAAATTATGATTATTCATGAAGTAGTGGGCACCCTACAAGTGTGCTTTTATCACTTACCCAAAGAGTGCTTGAAAAGGCTCTAAAAATGCCGCTTTTCAAGCTTTCGTTATGGCTGGGCTGAGCGTTCCACGCAGACCTGGCGCTTTTTTACAGCATAGCTACCTAGCTATACCTATCTTAAGAACGAGCGAGTACATGTAAAGAAAATTTAGGACCACAAGAACTCTCCCAGGGGCGCCATGTTGTTTCACAGCATGCCTACGCACTGTGGCACACGCCTGCAACATATTGTGTGGTCCATTTCATTTCTGCATCTTCATGCGCACTTCAATATAGCATCATGCTTGAACATCACGCTAATTAAGAAAAGACTACTTGCACGTCAACGACTTGTCTTTAACCTGGCACTCAAATGGTCAAAGGTGTCCCCACCTAGCTACCGCGTAGGTGGCTCTCACTCGCATGCACACTCATTTAGACAGGCTAGTCACTACATTTATTCTCGCCAAATGAAACGACTGGTTTACTGCGTTATCAAGGTCGGTATTGTAAAAAGCTTCCATTACACCGCGTCTTTGTCACAGCCGTTCGGGTTCGCTTCTTCATTGCATGACGCGACCAGCAATGAAAAAGCACGTGAGCACATTTTGCGTGAAGCAAAGGGATGTTTGCCCCCAATAAATCGGCGCTTGCGTGAGCACCATAGCACTTTAACATGTGCGTCGTTCTCCCTTTTGTCTGCCCACCGTGAGGCCTGCTGTCGCACCTCGGAATTTCGTTACCCGACTACTGTTTACAGAAAGACGGATTATCGCATAGGAGAGATAGCGGAAGGTTTTGCTATCTGCAAAAAAGTCTGCCAACCATCACTCCGGGCGAAGACACGCCTTCGCCACCTACCACGGCAATGACAGCAACCTGGTACGTCGCCTTAACGCAACCCTGTTATCCAGTAACTTTACTGAAGACAAAAATGCGAATGTGGACAGGTGGCTCTGTATGTACGAGCGCGTCAGCAAGCAATCTGGCTGAGACCCAACCGTTATACTTGCGAATGTTATATTCTATCTTGTAAAGACTCCTAGCATCTGGTTTGATGGCCTACGAGCAAGAAGTCACAAGCTGGGAAATGTTAAACAACGGCTTCGCGACCTTTTTGGCTATTCATTTGGTCTACAGCTTGATGCTGCAATGCAATATGTCATACGTACACGGACATCCACCAAGCCCTACTTGACTTATATTCAAGACATGTTATCCTTGTGTCAAAAGGCTAACCCCAACATGGCAGAGGCTGACAAGATATCGCATATTTTTAAAGGTATCGCCGACGATGCGTTCAATCTGCTTGTTTTCACAAACGTAAGGACCATTGACGCCGTATTCAAACAATGCCGCCGTCTCAAGCAGGTGAACAGTCGACGCATTTTGCACTAGTTACACCGCCTACCCAACATCACTGCAACGTCGTCTTGCGAAGTCACCAGCCAAGCTGTGAAGGACATTCTTGTGTCGAAAAGCGCCATAGATGTCCGCAGCTTTGCGGGGCTCTGCTGCTACTTTTGGTGGCTCATCTAGAACTCTGCGGAAATTGCTTGGCCTTTACCATATTTACTGCAACCAGATGCGATCTTTAACTGGCGTCTCTCGCAAGCAGTAGCTTTCCTCCAGTCTCCCCACTTTGGCCACTTCTTTTTCTGCTTTGGCTCACTTCGACCCTACTGCACCGGCCGAACTCCACACCGATGCCACTGGTTACGAAATAGGCGCTGTGTTGACTCAGCGACAACGTGGGCAGCAGCCACCTGGCATAAGCTAAGCTTATGCCAGGAGGCTGCTGTCCCCATCGGAGTGAAATCGTTCATTGACAGAGCGCGAATGTCTAGCGCTGGTGTGGGCAGTCACGAAATTTTATCCTTACATACGGTCGAGCATTATAGTTCTCACCGGCCACCACGCTCATCGCTGGCTCACCTCCCTGAAAGATCCCACAGGTCGTCTCACTCGCTGGGCACACCGCCTCCAAGAGTATTTTTACACCATAGTAGATTCCCTGTCACGCTTCCTGTGGCTTACTGGAACTCTACGAGCACTGATTCCGTTGAATGCGTCTTTTTCATATCCCAGCTGCTTCAGCCCGGTGACGAACAGTGTCGCGATCCGGATATCATTCGCTTAATACAACAGCTTGAATCTTTCACGTACAACACTTCTGTTCGCGCGTTTACATTAAAGAACCACACCTTATGTCGGCGCAATTCATCAAGCGCTGGTGACGACCTACTTCCGGTCGCACTGAAGCTCCTACGCTCCAGAGTCCTCCGCGAACTCCATGACGCGCCAACTGCAGGTCGCCTTGGTGTCTCGCACGTATGACAGCGTGCGCCGCCGCTTCTACTAGCCTGGTCTTTCGCGCTCTGTACGTCGTTATGTCAACGTTTGCGAAATTTTCCAGTGCCGCAAGAAGCCGTCGGGACGCATTGTAGCCGGCGCCACTCATTCGCACCAACCTCTCCCTAAATACATTTAATAAAAAAAAAAGCCGTCTGTTGCCGGTATCTTCAGCGCATCAACATGCCACCAGAGCGCTTCTTTCGTGTCGGTTTGGACCTTCTCGTTCCCTTCCCAACATCCGCCACCGAAAACAAGTGGGTCGCGGTCGCTACAGATTACGCGACTCGCTATGCAGTTAAACGAGTCATGTCCACAACCTGCACTACAGACGTCACCGATTTTCTACTGCACGATCTCCATTTAGTGCACGGTGCCGCGTGTCACTGCTGATAGACTGAGACCGTACGTTCCTTTCTAAAGTGGATTGACAATATCCGGCGTTCCTGCTCCACCCAACATAAGCGCACGACATTGTGCCCCCCCCCCCCCCAGCCCCCGAGAAATGGGGCTCATAGAACACTTAAATTACACCCTGACGGATATGCTATCGAATACGTCTCAGGCCGATCATCGTTACTGGGGTCTTGCACTACCCTACGTGACGTTTGCGTGCAATTGCTCCTGGCATGACACTGCTGGGGTCTCGCCATTTTACCTTTTGTTTGGGCGTGAACCAACATTGCTGTTAGATACCCTTCTTGCCGACTGCTGCGCAGTCTACATCTGAATATGCCTGCAATGCTATGCCTGCACTGACCATGCTCGTCGGTTTGCCCGCAGGTGAATATGGCTCCCCAAGACGCGCCGAAGCATCGTTATGACGAGCGGCATCGCAACGAAAATTTTCAATGGGTCTGCTCATTCTTTTTACTCCCCTAAG